CGGGCCTGTGAGATTTCAGAAGTCACCTTGCTCTTCACACCATCCCCATCCAACAAGCAGAGGATCAGAAGCCCCTTTCCTGGCCTTTGAATGGGTGGCTCATACACAGTCCTACGAGAAACAAGGCCACGAGACTAGGTCTCCAGGCAAAGCAAGGACTCGAAGGTCCCCCTCTGTCGCCCTTTTCAGAGACTCACGCCAAGTTCAGTAGTTGCCCCTTATCCACGGTTTCGCTTCCCGTGGTTTCATTTACCCACAGTCAACTGCAGCCTGAAAATATTACATGGAAAATTCCAGAAATAAACAACTCATAAGTTTTACATTGCACACCGAACTGAGGAGTGTGATGAAACCTTGAGCCATCCCACGCCACCCTGTCTGGGATGTGAATCACCTCCCTACCCAGCATCTCTGCTATATACATATATGCTCCCCACCAATTAGTCACTTAGCGACAGTCTCTGCTATCAGACTGACTGTCGCAGTATCACAGTGCTTATGTTCAAATCACCCTTACTTTACTTATAATAGCCCCAAAGCCATTCATATAACTTTTATTGCAGCGTATTGTTATAATTGTTCTATTTTAATATTAGATATTGTTGTTAATTTCTTGCTGTGATTAATTTATAAATTAAACTATTACACATATGAACGTGTAGGGGAAAAACATAATATGTATAGGGTTTGGTATTACTTGCAGTTTCAGGCATCAACTAGGGTCCTTGGAATGCTATGCCCTATGGGTAAGGGGGAGCTACCACATTCTTATCTAACTCTGAAGGGCCAGGTGCACATAGATTCAAACCCCAGCTTGGTCATTTAACCAATCAGAGCCTCAGTGTCCTTATTTAAAAAATGGCCCTTGCTACCATCAAACTTTCTGGTGAGCGCTAAATGACTTATGAAATTGTTCAGTATTGGACAAATATTTCTTTTTCTCCCCAGATAGAAAGCGCATAACGATGAGCAGTTTACGAATGCTGTAATTTACAAATAGTGTATATAAGTATACACACGCACAATCCATGTCAGAATCACGCTGACACACCCGTATCCTGGAAGCGGAATTGTACTCCCCTGACTCACATCAAAGGCACATGCTCAAATGCCTAACTCCAATCTGGGAACTCTAGGCACAGATGGACTGTCAGTCCCAACAACCCTCCTGCTTTCAAATCACACTTGTCAAAGGCGCATTTAAAAATACAGTGACACCTCATTCTGCCTGGGAAGCATCTACTCAGATCTATAGATTTAGTGAGTGTGTGAAGGAAGACAAGCTACCCTCCATCTTTTTTTTTTGCTTCTGTTGGTAACTCAGTAACACAAATGGGGAGCAAAAAGCAGGGGGGAGGCACTGTAAACTCACTCCAAGATATTTATGCTTTGATTTATTCATGTCTAGCAGTAGGCGTTTGACACTCAGACATCAAAGCACTCTTTACCTATACAGTTAATAGATAATATTTTTTAAGTGATGATACTTAAAGATTCCAAATACATATAGAAAAAAAACCACTAGGAACAAGAGTTTGAGACTAATTCGGCAATATAAGTCTAGCATCCTAAAGTATAAAGTCCTCAAACCCAATAATTCTACTTTGGGAAATAACCCGGGTGCTGACAAGAGCTTTATGTATCAAGGTCTTCATTATAGTATTTTCATACCGATGAAGAGTCGTAAACAATCAACTGTCCAAATACAGGAATGAGTTGGTGAACTACAGTGTGCCTCGCCGGTGGAAAAACACGACAGCTGTCACTGGCAACTCTGAGCTGTTTCTGCCTGTTTCTTCACCAGATTGGAAGCATCATGAAAGTACAAATGAGGATGGATGGATGGATGGATGGATGGATGGATGGATGGATGGATAGATGGACATGCATGCATGACTGCATGATTTAGGAGTTATATAACAATTTGGAAATATACACATGATGCAATGTTAGGTAGAATAAAAAACCGGAACACTGTGGAGAGGTTACAACCCCTTCAGGTCACACAGGAACACCTAAGGGGACTGGAAGGAAACCCACTGATGTACTCACTGACATGGGGTAACTTCTAAAGAACTCTGTAATGCCTTCTCTATTTCTGCATTGTTTCAATGTTCTATCAGGAGTAAATATTGAATTACATCTGACTCTTAAGGTTCGTGTGAGGAGAAGACACTCAGCATCGTGCTGAGGACAACACAGTTGTCACTAAATGTTGAAAGTGTCAGGAAATATTAAATTATTGCTTTTAATTAAACATGGCACATTTCTCCTCTCTCCTTCCACAAAGCCCTACAAAATGAAGTAAAGGAATATAACCTGAACGGACACTTTTTTCCCAAGGACATAAACAAACAAATATATGAAAAGATGCTCAACTTCACTAGCTATTAGGGGAATGCAAATCCAAACCACAATGAGATACCACCTCACACCTGTTAGAATGTCTATCATCAACAAGACAAGTAATAACAAGTGTTGACGAGGCTGTGGAGAAAAAGGAACCCTCATGCACTGCTGGCAGGAATGTAAATTGGTACAAGCACTGTGGAAAACAGTATGGAGGTTCCTCAAAAAATTAAGACTAGAGGTACCAAATAACCCAGCAATTCTTCCCCTGGATGTCTACCCAGAAAATCTGAAAACATTTATCCATAAAGATATATGTGGCCCTACGTTCATTGCAGCATTATTTATGGTGGCCAAGACATGGGAATCACCAAAGTGTCCTTCGATAGATGATTGGATAAAGAAGATGTGGTGTATATAACACAATGGAATATTACTCGGCTATAAGAAAAGATGAAATAGTGCCATTTGTGACAACATGGATGCATCTTGAGATTACCACACTAAGCGAAATAAATCAGACGGAAAAGTTGAGAACCATATGACTCCACTCAGGTGGGAAATAAAACTGAAGGCAACAAAGGAACAAGACAAAGAAACCAAAACTCACAGACACAGACTATAGTTCAGTGGTTACCAGAGGGTAAGGGGGGAGGGGGAGGTAGAAGAGGGAAAAGGGGGTCAAGTATATGGTGATGGAAGGAGAACTGACTCTGGGTGGTGAGCACACAATGTGATACATAGGTGACGTATTACAGAATTGCACACTTGAAACTTATATAATTTTATTAACCAACATCACCCCAATAAATTTAATTAAATTTTTAAAAAAAATCTAAACCCCCAAAGATAACGAAAGGAAACAACGGAGATGAGCAAACAGCAGTTATGAGATTTTGACAGATGTTTGGATGAAGAAAGGGAGCGGACAATGTGCTTTCGGACGCAGCAGGGTGGAGTAGCTGATACTCCAGGTACCTACAGAGGGGGGTACGGACAGGATCTACTCCCGCCCCAGACTCCCTGAGAAGCCCAAGCACGAGATCCCCTGGAAGGCAGGGTGACACTTGGACTGGGAACGGGAGAATCCGCTGTAGATCCCAGACACAGTGGTTGGTAGTAACAAGAGGTTGCTATTGCTCTTTTTGGCTCCCTGAGAACCACATGTACATGGCTATCTCTACGAAATACTCTTGTTTCAACCCAAGTCTTAATAGTACTAGGTTTTGAGGATAGGAGGGAAATAGGGAAAAGGTGGTAAAAGGGAGCCCTAAGTTCTCATCTGTTAAGGCAGGAACTCAATAGTTACTTCCAAAATTGACAAATCAAGAAATAGCAGGATTCGCGTATTCCTTAGAAACATTGAGGGGAGAATGAGAAAAATAAATAAATAACTAAAAGAGTTGAAGGCGGTGGCCCCTGGGAGTGGGAATGGCAGGCGCGCAGAGGCGAGACAGGGAGTAAGCTGGGGTTTTTTAAACCAGAAGTCTTTGGGGACTCTTTGATTATTTCAGTTGTTTGTATATTATCTTGATGAAACTCAAGATCAATTTTAACCAAAGCCTGGCTCAGACATGTAAGATGTGTTTGGCCCTGGGCATATAAGCCATCCGTGACCTGGAAATATCGATACTTACCTCACAGCATTTCAGGAGCCTAATGTCAGACCACATATGTACAGTGCTTCGATTTAGGTCTTAAAGGGCTTGGACATAGACATCCTGGATAGAGTGTGCAGAAAACACACACACATGAGCGCGCGTGCGCGCGCACACACACACACACACACTCACTCACACACTCTCACTCCAAACTTAGCTATTTTTACTGAGAGAAGGAAACTGACAACATGGGTTGAGAACATTTCTACTTTCAGCCACAGCCGGGCCATAAATGACTGCCACCTACAGGGGCTATATTCTGTCTCTGCAGCCAAGGCCGCAATGACAGATGTCTAGAGCTCCTCAGACATCATGTCACAGGGCAGGAATTAGCGTCGCTCGGGCTCTCAGAGCCTCTCATTTCCTGACTAAGGGATGTGGAGCGAGGCCCACGCTGGCCTGCGTGCTTCCATCTCGCCCCATCTAGAGTGGCCCACCACCCACCTCCCCACACCGCCTGCTGCCTCCTGACCAGGCCAGGAGGTGGTGGGCCGGCTAGGACGAGCAGGAGGGAACAGCAACCTTTGTCCAGGCCCTGCTCCTGAGCTCGGGGCCAATGCTCTGCCTCAGATGTTGCTGTACCACCATGTCAGGGTGCTGATGGCTGTGGGGCTGAACTCTTCTGCACCAGTGAACAGCCGAGTTCTCTCACTTTGGGGCCTCTGAAACCACTACTTTTGACATTGCCCCAGGTCCTTGATAGGGTGAAACAATCCTTAGAATGGCAATGGGGAGAACTCGGCCTCAGTCCTACTCTGCTTCCACTTAGCCACATTGTCTGACCAAGTCATTTAATTGCCGTGCGTCAGTTTCCTCATCTGTGAAATGGGTGCAGTGCTGGCACTGCCCTGTCTATGCATGTGGGTAGTTGACAGGAGCTGGAATTCGTGAGTGGGAGAGGGCGGGGTGAGCTGTGAACTGCTGGACAGAAGGAAGGAGAATGACGTGGTGGCGCTCTCAGCAGAGACATTAACAAGACAAGGGACTCACCTTGCTCTGTGAGGGGAGGCAGAATCACCGAAGGACAAAAACTGGGAGCATCATTTTGAGCCACTAGAAGGAAGAAGAGGGCAGTCTGTTAATGCTTCTTTTCTCTCAGTATCACTGAGTCCTGAAGGCAATGAGAGGAACTACTTGGCGATGGCAAAATTGGGCTTGGAAGGCAGACAGAGTGTATTCAACACCCAGCACCATGCCCACAGTAGCAGTCAGGGTGGGCGCGGGTACGCTGAGGTGACAATCGTAACAAAGGGTCTCCTCTCCCCAGCACCATGTGTCCGTGGGAGGTGGGCAGGGGCTCTGCTCTACGCCGTCTTCACTCAAGGCCCCACAATATTGTGGCAGGAAAGAGAACGCAGCGAACCCTACTTTTGTTCTTACAGCTTCTGCCTACAAGGGACACACATCACTTTGCTCACACATCATGGACCAAAGCCAGGGGCCAGGGGTGAGGAAGGGCAGCCCTACCCTGTTCTAGAGACATGTGGTGAACAACACAAATGCCCACGGCCATCGCTCACTGACTCTGTGAGCTTTGGGCGAGGCAGCTAACCTCTCTGAGCCTCAGTTTTCACATCTGTGCAATGGGGCTGATACCACTGCGAATCACGGTGAGGATTACAGGAGGTGATGCAGTGTCAGGAACAGGGAAAGAGCTATGAATGGCAGGCCGTGTGGCAGGATGGGCAGAGCCTGGACTCAAATCTCCACATGCCACTTAGAAGCAGTGTGGAGGGACCAGCCATCTGCCTTCTTGTAGACCCACCTTGGGCATTGATAAAACGAGAATGATGTAAGAATTAAATGAGAAACCACACATGCCCAGTAGGTCATGCATAAGTGCTAATTATCTACCTTCTGACCTTCTTTCTCCATGACTGAACAAATTTACATCTTCAGAGCTTCAGTATTCTTTTCTCCAAGGGGCCCGAACTAGGAGTGCGTGCAGTTTTTCTCCCTCACTGTGCTACAGCAAGGTCAGGGGTCAAAGGTGGCAGCTCTGGGGTCAGTGGGCTGGGACAAAATTGACTAGGCCACTTTCCTCTGTGTGACCTTGAGCAAGTTATTAGACCACCCTGTCCTCAGTTTCTTTGTCTGTAAAACGGGGGTAATGACAGCACCTATCTCGGGGCTGTGAGGTTTAGACGAGCCGGTACATGTAAAGCTTTGGGCATACAGTAAGCACTCAATAAGTGCTGGCCATCATCTACTCGGAATAGTGGCCTCTTACAGTGACACACTGTTGCCATCGTCCCTGGTCCGTGTCTGCCACCATGAAAAATGTCGGGTCAGAGTCACTCTATTCTGGTCCCTCCCTTCCATCCCCTCCCCTGCCTTCTTCATCTTCGTCAGGCACGCTGTGCCCAGCCTCTGAGTTCTAGAACCTCTAGCTGCACCTTCTGGCTCCACCTGCCTGGAAACACCTGCTCCCAGGCGTCATTCTACAGCCCTGGTTCCTGTCCTTGAGCAGACAGGAGAATCCCCTAGAGGGCTTGGTCACATGGACCGCATTGGGCGGAGTGTCTGATACAGCAGGCCTGGGCGGGGCCTGACATGTGGCATTTCTGACAAGTTCCCAGGCTGCGCTGACTGCTGGTTGAGAGACATGCTTTGAGAACCACCAACTGAAGCTTCTGTCATCATCCTTCTGGGGGCTCCTCAGACAGTGCTCAGATTTACTACCAGCCAGCCATTCTCCGCTACACCCAGTACACGGCTATTTTGTTTAAATGTCTGTCTTTCCTGGAAGAGAGTGGCTCTCAGAGCAAAGATCCTCAGAGTCCGTGCGGTCCTAGGGGGCAATCGGACCATCTGTGTCAAGGGCACTCAAATGTCCACGCCTTGCACCCAGTAACTGTGCTTGTGAAAATGTATCTTGAAATTCTAAGCAAGCTTTGTTTGCAAAGGAACTGTTATATTAATACAACAGTAAGGGAAGCCTGGAGATGATGTAAGTATTTAACACTCTGAGAATGGTCAGGTGAGCTATAACTCATCCATGGGGCGAGGCAGCACACAGCTCCTCTCAGTCGAGTGCTGACTGCACAGTTTGGCTACTCTGGTTCACGCTCTCTCACCCTCCCCCCCCATCAGTGTTTCATAACAGGGCACTGTTAGCCCTTTGGGTGGGATCTTTCTCATTGACAGGAATAGCTGAACCCTGAGGGTTCTCGGCTTCCCTGGGCCCCTGTGACACTGAAACACTCAGCATCCTCAGTACCTGGCGGGACTGACACTGCCCTGGGGACCCTCCTACTGAGAATCTTGCTGTATCACCTTGAGCAAGTCACTCAGCTAATTCTCACTTGTTAGATAATAAACCCTAACCTTTCTGCTTCTCCCAACTCTGCTTCCAGCGACCAAGCTGGTAGCTTGAAACCGGCCATCGCAGGAGTATTTACACCATGGCAAGCGGCAACTGCTAGAAAGCAGCCCATCCTCTCTGACTGTAGAATATTTGTCAGCACAGCACTGAATGAGGGCTAACAACAGGCCCTGCCTCATGGGGTTGTTGGGGACTAAGATGTCACCTGAAAAACACCACAGCCTAGTGCTTGCAGCCAACTCTGCGCAGTTAATGGCAGAAGCTGTTGATAGGATGTGAATGATGGTGAAGAATGGACTGTACAATAAACTCTACCTACACGTGGTAGATTCTCCATGGGGTGCAGACAAGCCTAATTATAAGACCGTGGCAGTTCCTTTGCAGCTTATGTTCCCGTGTCTATAATTGCTACGGGGTCCAAGTGCATTTGCTGAAGAAGAGAGAAACTGTAAGGCTTTGACTTTTTGTGTTTTTTTTTTTAGAAGCCACATTTGACTTTGTAAGCAAACCTTGCTGCGCTTGCAGGCCTGGCACAGCTGCAGGAGACATGGTAGCCATAGTTTCTTCAAAGAGCAGAGGGTTCCCAGGCCACAGGGACCGCCCTTCCAGGAAATCTGGGCTCTAGGGCAATGCCCTCTTCCCCCTGCACCCAGGATGCAAGAACACTTCCTCTCTGGGTCCTGCTGCCGGGAAGGAGCTGCAAACAGCCTCATTTGCATTCACAATTGCTCGTCTGTGTCCTCAGTTCTGTGCTGAGACACACAGAACTGTCTGTTCACTGTGGACAACAAAGTCACCCAGCACATTCCCGCGGGCTCTGTGGGTCTGCTCTTGGTGGCCCCTGCTCCAGGTGTGTGCCTCAGCATTCATGTTTGTTCTGGGAACAGAGCCCAGGTACCAAGGTCCTGTTGTCATTGCCTGTGTGCAGGAGTCTGAAGCCCTGAGGGCTGTGAGGGCAGGAACGTGGCCTACCCCACCTTGGTGACCTGCAGTTGATGGTCCCTACAGAGCTTTCTTTACTCCACTTTCCTTTATCTACATCCAGATTTGCCTGGAGTCGCTTTGGCGTAATCCCTGTAGAACAGAATGCTCTGGAAGCACCAGTGGACGCCATGACAGCAACACAAGCCAGAGCTCCGAGCTCTCTGATTACAGAGAGAATAATTATCTCCTCACGAGGGGATGGGAACAGCGCCAGCCTCCCAGGGGCTTGTAAGTGAATTTAGGGGGAAATGTGCTGCTGACATACATACACTAAGTGCTTAAGAACTGCTCATATTCTCTCACGTGGTCACCTGTGGTCAGAGCTCGACCAATAGCATCCTTCGCTTCCTCAGTGGTGGTTCCTCAGAAACGGGACCTGTGCTTCGCTTCTTGTACCTGGCTGTCAGGCTGAGGTCAAATCGGGGCCCGGGGTAATCACTCAGTGCAGATGTCAGTACACTAAATGATCAACTTGAGGCAAGGACAGTGTAGTATGGAAATTCTTCAGAAGCATTCCTTTGTAAGAATGCTTTGAATTTGTAAGAATGCAAGAATTCCTTTGCCTGGCCTGACAGAGGGGGAGGATTAGGGTCCTAACCACCCTTCAAGGTCTTCCCTAGCCCTGCCGCGGCTACTGCTTATGATGATGTATGTGACTGTCTCATACAGAAAAAACGAGTGACGATGCCAGCTTCCTTGCTGGGGTTTTCCAACATTACACTGGTGTGGTTTTATCTATTACAGAGAATAGAATCCAAGACCAGACTAACGTTCAGAACCCAGAAGGTGGCTATGTTTTGGCTCAAAATACACCATGAATCAAAAGGTGGATCAACGTGACCCAACTGGGAGAAGGGTCTGATTTATTAAACTAATCTCCAGAGTAAGATTCCTTTGCTCTGCCTGGGTCTAGGAGGAAATCACCCACCAAATCTTATGACATACCCCACCGCCCACTTCTGAAAGTCCTGTGAGGACCTGATTCTACTCTGAGAGCGAGCCCTGGGCCACACAAGGTCATCAAAACCCTCTGACCACCAGCCTTTTTCTTTCTATTCTTCTGAAATGGAAAATACAAAGCCACTTGCATCAGAATGGCCATAAGCTGTGGGCATCCCAAGGTATTTTACACCCAGGGGTCATGAGAGACTGATGGCATTTTAGCATTTTAATTGTTCTCCCCAATTCCTCAAACAGTGAGGGCAGGTGGCACATAATGTGAAGGGCTGCCTGTTTGGGTGGCCCCATGACTACGGGCCAGGGAGACTAGGATTTTGTCAGGGAGACTAGGATTTTGTCCCCGAAGCACGAAGGAGAGTCTCAGGAGCATTTCAGCACTGGATTTCTACCACTCTGAAGCAGGATTAATGTCTTGTTCCTGTGTCCCCATGGCACTTTCTGTACAAGACTGTTCTGGTACTTAGTCTATTATGCTACAGTTAATCATATATGCCCATGTCTTCCTCACTAGGATGCGAGTACCTAAGAAAAATGACTAGATCTTATTAACCTCAGATTCCCCAGGGTCAACACAGTGTGTGACTCAGGATAGACACTCAATAAGTTTGCAAAGCATCTGGTCTACAACATGAGTGATCCAACCCCAGAATGATTGATTTATTTACAATCTGGAACTCCTGATCAGGTTGAGACACCTGGAGGACAGGAACCACGTCTTATTCATACTCAGCTACATAACACAGTGACTTAGAGTCAGAAAGAACAGGGTCCAAATTCTAACTCTGTCATTCATTTGTTGGGTGACCTTGGGCAAATGACTTAACTTCCATGAGCCTCTCTTTCCTCATCTAATAGTGGCTGTGACCCCAGACAGTTACTTGACATCCAGCCCCATGAACAGAGGTTGGATTTGTGACCTAAGAGGCCCCGGGCATGGCTGATGCCCAGTCAGTGTTTGTTGAACGAGGCCACACGTGTGAATTTTTATTTCCCTGCCCTGTGGCTCCCGGTCAGAACTCCTGTGTCCCCAGCCTGACCCCATTGAATATATGTTGGAAAAATCTGGTGGTCTGTGCAGTCGGATGAAAAGAAACAGGGCAGATGGGATGAGCTGAGACAATGAGAACCTGGGGTTCTTTTCGCCTTGCCAACTCTTGCCATGATGTTGTAACACTCTGGTCTGATTCCCATGATATTTCTCAACAAATGAATAATGTCTTAAGCTTCTTTTTACCCAACTCGTCCCTGAACAATATGAAGGTGGAAAATGACATTTCCCCGTGTTTGGTGGAGCAAGGAGATGGAAAGAGGTGTGGGAGGCAAGACGTACTACAGCCCTGACTGACTGACAAGATGAGAAAACCAAGGGAATGTGGCTGAGTGCACATCTGTTGGCTTCCGCGTCTAGTAGCAGCACCTTAAGTGAACTTTGAGGAACTTTCTCTCCCCCAGTGCATACACTTTTGCTGGGACTGTCACTCAAGCTGCCCTCCCCTCCCCCTGGCAACGGGTGAACTCATAGCCCAAGCTGGGCCAAACTCTCTGAAATTTAAAGCTTGAATACGACCACCAAAACCCTTTGGAGGAAACAAATGATGACAGTGACACACTGAATAGGCTGTCCATGTGTTTCTGATAAATACATCCATGTTACTGAGTCCTAGCTGGTCCTCTGTCCTCTGAGTCTATGAGCAGATTTGCAATAAATTCCTTTCCTGCTTAAGCTCAGTAGAGTCCGTTTCTGTTGCTGTGCCCCACGGATCCCGATTAGTCTACTTCCCAGCCCAACGACATGATCCTAATTCATGGTTGCAAAACAGTGAATTAACGGTGCCCACAGAGCTGTTTGGGGCAAGCTACTTACCAGGTTTCTGGTACCATCCAAAAGGATAGGTGTGGACTTCAGTGTCAGCAGAGCCACAGTCCAAAATGCGCCAGGTTCCTCCATTTTCCTCACTGCATGTCTGAAGCCCCAAACTGTTCAGAATTAGGCACGTCACCTCCCCTCCTGGGGCAGAAAAAAATACCAGGATGGGAGATTCTAATTGAAAGAGGGAAATTCTGCAAACTCATTCTGGACCCTACCCTCAGCTATACCCTCCAGGTGGAAAGCCTGGTACCTCAGCAAGCTTCTGGTCCAAGAGAACAGGGATGGAGGCAGCTCATACTCTGCAACCCCATCAGGGGCCCAGGGCTTGCTAGGGCTCTGTTTGCATCATATCACTTGGTCCCCACACAACCCTATGAGGAGGTAGCCTCTGTATCCCTATTTATGGAGGGGGAAACTGAGGCTCGGCGATTAAGTGACTTTCCCAGGATCACTCCACTAGCAAGTGACTGAATCAAGTTGTAAATGCAGATGATATGAGTGGATTCAGAGTTCACCCCACAAAGCTGCCTGACCAGAATCTTGAAAGATGAGAAGCTAGCTAAGTGAGCTATGGAAGGCAGGCTATTCCAGTCAGGTAGAGGCGCTGGTTAAAGCTGACCGGGCCCTGGATCAGGGGTCATGTCCCAGCTATCACATCCATTAGCCACCTCCCCTCTCCAAGCCCTCACTTCCCATCCGTGAGCAAGGACCTCTCCTCCCGCCCCACGCACCACGAGAAGATGCTGAGAATTAGAGAAGATCATAGGAGTGACTGTTCTCTAGGCTGCAAAGTCCTGTATGCAGGTGAGGGGATTATCATCACTCTTACCTTTTAACTGGGAAACATTTAGAAAGCCAAAGCCGACGCAGCATGGGTCCACATCGCACTGTCGTTCACACTCAAAGAAGCTGGCATAGAAAGAGAAAGAGCAGGCCTGAAGGTTTTCCTTGGTGGCCCAGGACCTACTGGGTGGGCTCAATGGCAGTCGTTCTTACTTCCGGGAAACTGCTTTCTTTATGACTACCTGAATTTGCGGGGAGGGGCTCTGGCCAATGCACATGAGTGGATTCCTGGCCCTGAGTTTTTTTTTTCTGAAAACAAAACCCCACACGGCCTTCCTTCCTTCATTCATTGATTTTCTCATTCATTCAAGTGTTCATCAATCTGTACCTATTACATGCCAGGCTCCCAGTCAAGCTAACCCAGCACCCTAAATGTGCCCCCATAATCCTGTCAGAGAGGGACAAAGTCCCAGCTTTGGATTTTGGGAAAGGGGAGAAATGGTAGGGGAGGCATCTCCAGAAATGGGGGTTCCATGGGCTCACAGTTGGAATGACCCAACCAGCTGCCTCTTGGGTTCTCTCCCCCACCCTACCCACTCTACACCACAGGCTAATCACACTCCAAGAACACCTGTGTTGGCTGGGTCAGCACATCCAGGTGTTCTCTCAGGACCGACTTTGCTTAGTAACTCAGTATGGCGACTGGACCCTACCCCCAGCTCCTAGGACCAGTCCTGGGAGGGGAACTTAGTGGCTCTCAACCAGTGCTCTGGATCAGTCCTGAGTTCCCTGGCCCTGGCCACAGGTCCCAGTTCTGAGAACTCATTCCTGACTCCTGGGAGCTCGCTCAGCCTCTGAGAGTCTTCTCAGTGTGGAGAAACTGGTTCATTCTTCCATTCTCCTTCCCTGTCTCAGGAGCCCCCTGAACCCGAGCCACAGCCTGATGGACGAAGCCTCCATCACCTGGGCAGCTCTTCTGATGGTGACTCATCTCTGCCCTGATGCCTGCGGGCCTCCTGGCCGTGGTTCCCTCTCCCAGAGCCCTGCCCACCTGCCGACCTACCACTTCACTTCCCTGTCTTGGAAACCTACTGGGAAACTCCAGCCTGGATGATGTGGTTTCCCATTGAACTACCCCTCCCTGACTCCCACAGCCGCTGTGGCAGAACTGGGGACAGGCCGATCCCTGGTTCCAAGCCTCCTTCTCTTCCCCTCCCATCAGCATGGGCGGTGCCCAGCCTGATCCCCATCTTTTTATGGCCACTTTCAAAAGTCAATCTTGAACCCCAGCAAAAGGACACAGTTTTATAAATCAACAGGTCATAGATAGATAACTCGAATTCTAAAGTTCAAAAGAATCTCCAGGAGGAGAAGTTTACTGAAAACCCAGATGCTTGAGCCCCACTCCGGAAAAAGCTGGTTCTGTGGGTCCAGGGAAGGACCCACGAATGTGGTTTGGAAAGAGTCCTCCTGGTGATTCTGATGGCTGAGATCCACAGACCAGAGAAAAGCATCCCCATTCAATGAAAACAACCAAATCATAGCCAACTAACTAAATACATAACCAAATACATTTCTTGAACAATAAATAAAATAAATAAAAAGTCCATATATGCCTATGACCCTGTTCAAAATTCTCCTTGCTCTCCAGATTCTGAATACAGCACAGCGACACTGCTGATTCTGTTTACTACAACACTTGATAATTCTTATTAATTAATAATGATTCATCCATTATTTAATTAATAAGATGGCTCGTGTCTTCATGCATTTCGTTGCACATTACCTGACTGGTGGGCCAGCATCAGTGACATACCTTAGGGATGGTTTTTAGACATGGCTACTTCCTGATTGCCTGTTTTACTCTTTGCTTTGGCTTTTACAGATTTCTATGCATGTGCTTTTGACTGATGTTATGTCACCTTCTCTATGGAAGCAGAAGGGTCTTACTAATAAATGTTGGCCGCAGGGGCGGGGACGGGATGATGTCACTTACCCACTGGACACGGACTTGTCGGACATGGGAATTTTGCTTCTAATGGAGATCCCCATCAGTTTTTGGAATGGCAGGCGAGTGTAAAAGTTCTTCACTTTATCTTGCAGTACAACTGCACCGGGAAAGAAAGAAATTATATTATGTAGGGAGAGATTGGTTGTATCCATGAAAGTATGAAGTTGGAGGTGTGCAAACCAGGCTGAGCGCTTCCAATGAAAGATGGCGGATCAAATTCTCATGTGCACTCTCTGCGCCCATCCCAAATTTCACCAAAATAATAGTAAAGGGATTCTTATAAAGGCATACATACACGGGAGGTAAAGTGAACAGGACAGCGGATGTAGCAACACAATTTTGGAAATGTCCCCTGAGGAGTGGGGTTCTAGGGCAGGATTATTCTCTAGTCAACTTGATGCATCCTGAATGGCTTCACATCTCTACAAGGAGAGTGGATAACTTCACTTTTTATAAAAAGAAGACTTGATCTGGATACTTTTAGATCACAGAGGCAGTGGCCCCCTGGAAACGCAGACTGTGCAGATCTCACCGAGTGCTCACCTTTCTTCCGGAACAAGGCTGTTGGCCTGTGGGGCAGGGTCAGTCTACAGCCCCTGGGACTGGACTCCAGGACATCGTCACACAGCTGGGCCTCTGGGTAGAGGGTGCAGGTGAAGTACAAGGGAGCGCTGTCTCTTATCTCCGCCAGCTGACAGAAAGAGGGCTCCTGGATGCAGCCTATAAGCAAGAGAGCC